CCAAAGTTATAATACCATTTCATGCTCATGAAAGGTATAAAAAGGTTCCCAGTCAGGGATAAGCCCCAGGGTGGAGTAATTTTACCGCTTCTGTGGAATATAGCCCTCCAGAACTCTACGATATAGGCTGGAAGTTAATTGCAAACGGCGACTATGTAGTAAATAATATATAGCTACTTCGGGTAAACACCTCTCAATCCTGAAAAGACGGGTCTAGCGCGCTTCACAAGCAGCAAAATAAGAGACAAATATCTAGGTCTCATACTGGATAGGAAACTAAATTTGGGACCCAGCATTGCAGATAGAGTGCGCAAATTAACGATAGCACTATAATGATGCAGCAGGTTAATAAGAAAAAGATGGGGAATGGAACCCAAAATAATACGCTGCCTATACACAGATGTAGTTGAGCCAATTTTCAGGCAACGTAAAGTGGTATGGTAGAATATTATTGCGAAAGGCGTAAACTTAAAAACAAATTGCTGCCAGCCTAGCGTTTACGGCTCTCAAGAGAAGAGCGGAAACCAGACGCTGTAAAGAGTGACGAGTCCAAGCAGATGGCTCTCGAAGCTCGGCGGTTAGGTTTGTAGCGATGTATACACCGAACATCTGGGCGAACGAAATATGGCATGACGAGATTACCTGCAAAACTGCCAAGCGATTGCGGGAACAATATTAGATTATTAGAAGCTGTCAAGATGAAGAGGAGGAGGAAACGATTCTGCACCGGTTAAGCCAGTTCCCGGCTCTGTACAGGTGAAGACTCTCCACTCTTGCTAGGCAATTCTTCGGCAACTTGGAGGATCTTAGATGAGTGGAATTTAGGGGTCTTCTGAAATTCCTGCGAATCTGAAAACTGAGTTAGAAGGGATTGGGAGTTGCTGATCCCACATGCGGCAATATAATGGTCCGTGAGCCTAAGTGTGTTTTATAAACGGAATCGACAATCAACCTAACGTACCCTACAGCCCAAACTATGCCATATGTAGACTAAAAAACATGATGAAAAAAAGAAATAAAATCGAAAAATTTGGTTGCGTTTTATTTATACTTATAAGCAAATCTGCGGTTTTATTGAATCACCCTATAGCTAGCTAATAAATTCGCACACTAGGGTTGAGAGTTCTATCCGGATTTGTTGACTAGTTGCGCACAGAATCGAGTATGCAGGCCACAGTGAAGCGGTCTATCTGCCCATCGACCTTCGAACTCTGCTTGGATATTAGATGAGTGAGCTTGGATTTTGTAGAGACACTGTAACCTTTGTTTAGCGCGAGTGAATTTTACCTCTGTAGAATTAGGCTCGCCTGTCTGGGTTGCGTGATGCGTAATCCATTAAAAGCCTTCGCAAAATGGAGTTTAGGTCTACGTACAATAGACCACGCCAGAGTTATCAGGGCATTGTGGCTCCTAATAATAACAATAAATAATGATTTCCTTAGGTGGGAGGCGTTTGTACAATGAAAACTTCTGAGGGCCTTTGCGCGTTGGTGACGACGAATACCGCAGCTGACGGAACGAAGAGCTGTATAAGATTTTAAACGGTATAGACACAGTGCGGCGGATTAAAATACATACGAAGGGATCCACTTTGGAACAAACATGGAAAATTACTCCATTAACGAATATGACAGGATTTTAAAAATTGAGGTTTACAGACTTCTAGACTACTTGTAGCTTTGTTAAATTAATAATTACGCAATTACTAGTAGGATCTCTGTTTCTATGGGGAAGTATCCGAGCATTTTCAGGCGGAGGTATACGCCATCCATCTGTGTGCCAATCTAATGATACACAAAGGGTACCGAAATAAGATAATCAGCGCTCAATTGGATCTTCATTAGCCCTTGAGTGTATTGAGAAACTTAACTCCCTTGGTGGGCAAAAGAACATCCAGTTAGCATGGGTACCCGGCCGCAGTTGAATAGCGGGTAATGAGACGGTGGACTGTCCCGCCAGGGAGTCAGTAGACATCATTCCAATTGGCCCCGAGTCGTTGCTGGAAGTAGGTCCCAATACCTTAAAGAGAAAGCTCAGAGAGGAGAAAAACGCACTAAGGCATCTAAACTGACTTGGCTCGGTAGGAGTGCACCAGCCAAAGAGTCTACTGGGAGGGTACAACAATAAGAGATTCCAAAACTTAATTAACCGCCCAAACGGAGAAACTAAGAATACTAAAAAGTATCCTTACAGCACACTGCAGACTAAGTGGGCATCTGTATCAGCTGGGAATATGGTCAAATGGTCTATGTTGGCCCAGCAACTCGACCAGTGGCACACCACTTCATATTCTCATCGCGTGTGATGCAGAAAACGTAAGAGAAGTATATTAGCTATATATCAACAGTTTGAGCACATTCACACCCTACCCGCGAAGGCGCTGCTCCTATTTTTAGGGATTTATGTAGGTTTCGAGGAAGTATTATGAAGAGTAGAGGGCACAATCTAGACACATGCACACTAGGCCAAATGCCCTAGTTATCGCTCGGTGAAGGAGGAGCACACACAGTGCCTTTCATGCCGCTATCCACTCTTTCATAAAAATAAAAAATAAAAATAGAAAGCACAGCACGTCAACCCCAGAATTCATAACAGTAATAGAGTCTAGTCTACTACTATCTACGAGTGCCTGCATTTTGCACGCAATATTTTGACAGCATGACAGCGGTAAATAAACACACGCACAACTTACCTCCTTCCTGGCGGAGCCATCATGCGCTGGCAGCACATCGAATACCTTCGCATTGCCATCTAAATACTCCTCGCAGTGACGATGCTGCTTGACAATGACGTACTCGCATGCCTGCGCTAGGCGGCGGTGATTGCCAACGTTAAAAGGGCCACCATCGCCACCACAGCCAGTTGCGGGAACGGTTAGCGCCATCGCAGTAAGCGCAGCGGGATAGCAACCACCAACAGTCAATTCGGCGTGATTGCTTGCAGCTAGCACGGGAACGCAATTTTCTTTGGTATTCGTTGATGTTTTTATTAACATTGATTGATTGATGGCTGTATTTGGTGGTGGGCTGCTGCTGCTACTGCAGCTATTCGTATTAAAGCTGTTGGCCGTGGTGGTGGCGGTGGTGGTGTTGGCGTTTGCTTTGCCGTTATTGTTATTCTTCAAACAATTGTTGTTTTTGCTATTATTGACATTAAACATATGCTGCTGCTGCTGCTGCTGCTGCTGTTGCTCATGGCGTTTTTGTTGCATTTGCTGTGCGTTTTGATAATTGAGCAATGCGCCAATCAGCTCCGCACATGTTGTATTCGCATCCACACCTGCCACCCAATGCCTTTCGCCATCCACCCAAACAGCTACATTGTCCGACAATGTTTCCATTGAACCGAATGAATCGCTATCATCATCAACATCGTCGTCGTCGTCGTCGCCGTCGTCGTCGTCCACTTCAATGCCGCCCGCTGTCGGCACACCTGTACAAGTGTCAACGGCTAGATTAATATCATCAACAACAACAACATTTGTCGTCGTTGCGCCATTGGGAGCCATGCTGGCGACACTATCTTTATATACATTCGCAGTGCCATCGACATTGCCCTCATCATCATCATCAACTACAACACCGATTGCATTCGCGGCGGCAAAACGGTTGCTGACCATTTCATCTCGCTGCACCCTTTCATTTAAAATTTCCCCATTGGTCGCACCGCCGCGTGGTTGTTGTTGCTGCTGTTGTAGGTAAGCGTGTGTATAGCCAGTAAAACCAATATTTATCGCTCTGGTAGCCATCGTTGTTTGTGTTGTTGGCTGCTGCTGGAAAAATGGTGGCTGCTGCCGTAATGGGTAGCTGGAGCTGATGGCGCTGGCTTTATTTCGCGTCAATTGATTTGTATCTTTGGCCGCCATGGTAGCTGTCATCGTTGCTGTCGCCAAAGTCGTTCTGCTGCTCCTGTCGGCCGAAAGCGCCCGCCCGCCCGCCTGTGCGCTCTTTGTACGGGTAATTTGTGTGTTTTGCTGCAAGTGGAACAAGAAAAATAAGAGCCAATGAATTACAATGACGATACAGCTACATAGCTAGATAAACACGCACACACACACATGCATACATACATAAGTATTGTTTACTGTGTATATATGTATGTATGTTTAGCGATAGCAATAACTAATACAAAAAAAAGCATTTCCAACGCGTTCGCTTGAATTGATTTATTTTGGCATATTAACTAGAAATGTGAGCAAGAATGGCCAAATGATGTGGTGTCTGATTTGATTAGTGTATTGAGTGCATGAACACCCGCTCATTCTCACACCTACTTCTACAGCAGCACCCACATCCACACCCAATAGCCAATTACTTGCATACTCGCGCACAAAACCCATCTACCGACCAACAATAGAAAATCCGATTAATGGCGCCTGCAGCTAGTAGCTGCTGTGGGTGCTTACTGCTGTGTACTTTCATAAACACATACACACCTACATACATATGCATGTATTTATTAGATTATATCGTGCACGAAAATATTTCATACAATCAGGGCCGCACTAACAAGTGTGCGGGGTCAAAGGCCGGTGGAAATGTAGGGGCCCTTTAGCTAATTACATTTTTATCAAGTGTAATGCGTTTCAGCAATAACACAGTGCGAAACTCAAAAATTGAGTGGAAATAGACCAACTACATGCGTTTACGGTAGACAAAATACGAATAAATACAAACAAATTTGTTTAAGTGGCTTAACATTTTTTGTATATATCGATTTGAAACTATATATATAAGGGTCAAACCTGGAATTTACTTGGAAAAATAATTGAAATGATACCCTTGAGCCCAATTTATGAATTTTTTTTTTCATTACATTTTGTTAATGCAAAATACAGGGAAAGTGACAATTAAAAAAAAAGCTATTTTCCTGTTCCACTAAAACAAAACAATCGGAAAAATTTGATAATTTGGCGAAATTTTTTTTTTTGTAAATTCAAACTTTCAAATTTGCGATTTTTTAAGTTGTGGCAACCCTACAATTGTTATCAACTAGTAACATTTATTGGCATGAGCAGGAGAATCAGTTTTCTTCAAAATGTATACTTTCACTTTGCATTAAAAAATTTAATACAAACAATTAACAAGTCAAAAATCGGGCTCGACAGATCTATTCTAAATCTCACCAGCTTTCATTAGAGAAAAATGTAACGCGCTATAAAACTGCCAAACAGATTGTAAAAATCCTGAAAAAAACTTTTGTTATTTTGTTGAAAATTTTTTCATAAATTTAAACTTTCACCTTTTCGTTTTGTAACATTTATTAATTTTATTTTGTTTAATTAAAAATTTATCAAATCGAATGAAAATTAATTCCCAAGTTTTCCTCACTGTGTGGCGTGTGTCTTGGACTCGGTAAGTTAGTTTAAAATCGATTGGAATTTGAGCAAGTTAATCCGCTCAGGACCCTAAGCATATATTTAAAAAAAAACTCACGTTTTGAATTGTAAACTGTGTTTCATGCAGGATTGAATAATGAAATTCTGATATCAAACAAAAAAAATTGTGTATGTAAGACAAAAATTCCTATAATTTTATTAATTTCAATTAGCGTTTTACCCAAAATTCATTTTCTCCAAAAATGGGTTTTCTCCAAAATATGTTTTTTCCTAACAAATATTTTTTTTTCAAAAAAAATTTTGTTCTAGAAATCTTTTTTAAAAGTATTGCAGGTTTTTTTTTTTTAATTTCGCTGTATACTATTCTCCAAAAAATGTATATTTTGTTCGTAATGTTTTTTTTTCTGTAAAAAAAAATCTTTGAAAAATATTTTTTCACCTAAAATGTTAAATCTTTAAAAACGTCTTTTCGACCCAATAGTTATACCTCTAACATTATTTTTTTAAATTATAATACTAAAAATTATTTTTTTGACAAAATTATTTTCACCGCACAAATTTGTTTTGGGAAGAAATCCTTAATTTGGTAAAACACATTTATTCCTCACAAACTTTTTTCTAAATTACATATATTTTTTGTAAATGGTTTTCTAAGAAATTCGAAGTGAGAAAGTTCTTACATGTTTTTAAATTTTTTTCCAAATTAGAAAAAAAATTCTAAAATTCCATGATAAAAATACTTAGCTAAATGAATATGAGGCACATTTCAAAAACACAAAATATTTCTTAAGCTACTAAAAATACAGAAAATTTCATTTTGAGTGGAGTAACTTTTTGTAAATATATTTCCCATGGTCCTGAAAGGGTTGATAAACAGCTTTTAAACAATATTTTTAGCAACGTCAGAAAAGCTGAAGGATGTGAAAATAGTGTCTGGCAAAAAACGTTCCTCAGATTCTACAAAAAATTTTAATGACAAAACTTTTTTGGACATTAAAAATTTTCAAACAACTGAGCCGCGCCCACGTCGCACCATGCTACAATCCGCACCTGCATGCAAGGATACATACAAGCAGATTTCTTGCCATAATGAAGGCAATAAAAAAAGAGTATAAGTATGTATGTATATAGAAATTGACCGCGGGTGTTGTATGAAATTGATTGGATCTGATGATGAAAGTATCTATCGTTCTTGCTAAAATTCAAATTGTATAGTGATTTGTTGCATTGATGATGTGCTAAAAATATGCAAGTACATCAAATAAATTGTATCCATCTTTATTGAGTAAATATTCTCTAAATAAGAGTGTATGCACAACTAATATTAGACATGTAATGATTATTTTCAAGAATCAATCACATTAATGGCTAACATTGGTTATATTTTTCTTCAGAAGCATGCATTTCCTATTTGTATTCAATTTGGCAATAAAGTGGCTAATGCAAGAAGAGTTAAACTGTAAGTGAATTTTATTATTTCCAGCAAGAATTTCCAGCTATAATATCATTTTGTCTTTTTCTTGTCTATGAAAAACACTGTATGGATCATTTAAATTTGAATCAGCGCCCTAAAAAACCAGGAATAGTAGAGAAATCTTAAGCAGTTATGATCCTCTTCGATTTTTCGCCGAATATCCTGAGAGGAATTGTACTGGGCATACTTTGATGATTATTTTATGAAAGTTCGGAAGAAAATCGGTAAAGCAATGTTCGGAAATTGCATATGATTTTCTTTGGGCATTACGGACTGAGGCTGATTGACTTCGCCGGGGTCCGAAGTATGGTAGTATGCAGTACTAGGTTCCAGCGTGCAAAGATCCATCGAGCTTCTTGGCTATCTCCAGGTCGAAAAACGTGAATCCAAATCGATCAAGATGTGATAGACGGAAGGCACGCTTTCGGTGTTTAAGATGTAGGCACATTCCGAGGGCCAAACATCGCCTGGGACCACTTTCTTGTTCCAGCCAAGATACGCACCCACCTCAAGGAAAGGTCAACTTCGAAAAGCTGCAATCACAATAGACGGTCAAAGCATTCACCACTCGACTCTCACACCTGCTCTCTCAGAGAGCACTCTTCAACAAACTGCCACGCGCGAGCAGTGGAACCACATTTCCCGCTCATTAAGCACGAGCCCGAAAGAATAGCTAGCTGGTCCGATGAGGAGTGTCAAGATGTTGCAGAGAAAAAGATACCACCTACAGGGCCACGCTGCGATCGGAGGCAACGCGAGGGAAAGCGTGACGTATTTTGCGCAATAAGAAGAGAGAGAATTTCAGAAAATTTTATATTGATTGACTGAAGTCTCTGACTACTAGAATAAAGTATGCCAGGCATTACAAAACTTGTTAAGATAAAATTCAGATAGACTTTCTAAATAGTTATGATTAAAGTCAAAGAAAATTTTTAATTGTTTGAAAAAATTTTGTCACAAAATTTTACTTTTCTAAATTTCTTTTTGGAATTGAATTCAATCACCAGAATTGCCCTTATAATAACTAATTACTCACTCAAATATATTTATTACCTACCATTTATTAGCTTTATTGTAAGCAGCGTAACTTTTTGTAATAAGCGAAAAAATGAATATAATTTAAATTGACATAAAAATGCAATTAATAATATTTAGTTTTACATATGTACATACACACACATATATATTTACATTGACTAATGAGTTTTAATTGAAAATGTGAATAAGAGCTACATAAATACCTAGTGTAATCTATTAAATAGCACAATAATTAAATAAAATAAAGATATTAATCATAATTAATTATTATTAAATAGAATTTTCCTGCTTATTTCGCCTTATAATTTACATATATTAAATTCAATTAAGAGACAAACAAAAAAACTGTCACAAAGCGACCACTTTGCGTGTCTCAGCGGCATTATAAGCTTAAAAGCTTAATTCGAAGAATTCATCAAATGAAGCTGAATGCGCGCGCGCTGGTCATACAAAGCGGTTGGCGTGTAAAAAGCCTGAAATGTATTAGCACTCACACACACACACACAGCTACACTTGCATATGCCGACCGGCTTCATTTCATTTACTAGCGAACATTTATTAATATCCTTACTGCATTGTTGTGTGCCACATAATATTACCTTTATACACGTATGTGTATATTGTTGCAACGTAGTTACGAGGATATGTATAAAAAGTCACTTGCAGATTTTTTTATGTTTAAGCGCTGTTAATCAATTTCAAAAGTTTCTCCGTAAGTCACGCAAGTTAACGAGCCATTCACATATGTAGATACATACACACGTCAATGCATCTGTTAAAGTTTAATTGAAGGTTGGCGTTTATTCATGCACGCTTACGTAGATACATATGGATGTGTATAAACGTTGTGCTGTCAATTTTTGCACCTTAATTTTATCAATTTAACAACACTTAAATGCCATAAGTGCTTTTGAAATTAATTTTTTCCAATAATAGGGATATATTTTTTTTATGGTTGAGAGGCATTCCAGGCTTGAGTGGTGGACATGTGCATGCACTGAATATGTAGTGTTATATATTTATGTAAAATTTGCAATAATTTAAAGCTGCTTTGGTAAACATTTTTTTAAGTATACTCTCACCTAAAGGAAGTGTTCAATTTATTGATTTTTTTTGCTTTCT